TAATTTAACTGAGAGACCAGTGTCCTTAATTGTAATGTTTCTCCCCCAACTTCTCTGTTGACTCTTGACTCTTTACATCAATTTAAGCTTTTTATATAGCAGTAATTACTGCAATGTCATAGAGGACCATACCACCTAACCCATTTTGGGAATGCCCGAGCCCAAGCCTGTGGGAAGAACAGAATTCGAGATTCATAGAATTAAAGACTGTATCATGATGCTTAATGGATCTGAATTCAGACTGTTCAGAGAACCTGAATTCTGTGTTTCGCAATTCACCAGGTACTTGACTTTGAAACTGTCACATTCTGTCAGTGTAGTATTCTGGATGCAACACCTATAAACAACATATGGAAATTAAAATACTCAATCCAAACTCATTTTACAAATATTGATATGTTTTTATAACTATTTAAAGTAGAAATAAATCCCATAGTAAGTTTGCTTTTGAGTTGCCTATTGAAAGACTACATAGTTATCCGAGTTCAATTATTACAATGATCAACACACTGAAGGTAACCCAACTCCATTTTCAAATAAGATCGATCTGATAAAGGATTGTTAAGAGACATCCAGGATATTTCAGAGGAAGTTTTCCAACTACACAGGCTGTAACTGTCCAGAGAATGACTGCCTGGGAATAAAAATCTGAGCAATATCTTAGATCACACTCAGATAAACAGTAAATTTAAGAATTAATCTATATTTCACAGGTTGCATGCATCAATAATCAAATACCATTCAAGTCATTAAACAATCTGATACAAACTTACAGCTTTTGTTTATCTGTAGCGAATAGCACAACCTTTTAAAATGTTAGCTGAGATTAGAAAACACAAAGAAATAAAGGAAGGGTAATGTTAAAAAATTCTCATTACTGGTTACCAATGTAATTTAAATTGCCTACCTGAGTGAACAAGTGTATGTGTAACCTCTAGAAATGAAATTTATCCAAAGTTGATGAGGAATGAGTTGAGGGTATTTTCAGGTAGAGCTTACAAGATACTTGCTTAAGGTAGAAGTTTCAGCTATGGCATCAGTTGCTGAAACACTTACGCAAACAAACTTTATCATGATGACAATAAATTTGGAAAAGAGGTTGCAGAAGAAAGATGCTCAAGAATGATCTTGTAAAAGTCCATTATTTTCTTTCTAGATCTGTTTCTTATACTGCACTCATCACTGTGGTATCTTGAGTACTTTCCAGTAGTGCATTAAGCAACATGACAAACATCTGTCACATGTTTTTTGTTCTCTCACCCCCTCCCCAGAGACACAAGTGTATGCAGTGGAGTGTCTTGTTTTAATTTTTTTAATTATTATAAACACACATGCACATAACACATATTATTAAACATTCATGCTAGAGAGGAGAGATCAGACAAATTTATCTTGCTCTTAGGATTAAAGCTGGTGAGCTCTGTAATGTTCCTGTAGCAGTTTCTATCCCACCCTTGCCCCGGATTGCTATGTCTTTACAGATACGAAATCAGTCTGGTCATGGGTGTCTTCAGTAGGCAGAAACCAAAAGTATGGATTCTCAATACCTTCATGTAGTGTTCACACTCAAGTCCAGGGATCAAATGGAATGAGATAGTAGAATTTAAGGAAAAACATGTGCTTTGTATAACTGCTGCCTCATCCTTGTATCCTTGCATTTGATACAGACTAGAAGCAGGAATTGATGCAGCTTCCAGATCACTGTCACAGAATCAGAGGGCACTGTGCAAGTTGTGATAAACAAGCTAGGAATCTAATGGATTGGAAAAGTCTGATTTAAACCGGGAAAAGAAATTCTTAGTATAATGGAATGAAGACCTGCAAGTTACTGATTTCCATACAGAGGGGACATAACTGCGAAAACAATCTGGAAGCTTTGGATCAGAGTTCAGTCAGACCCTAAACAACTGGAGGTAGACAGCCTACTCATTCAAGAACCATGAACACATAAATTGGCATCCCAGATCACTACTGGCACCACCAGTGTAAGCTTATGCTATTTAATACGGGGAGAGAAGTGTGTGTGTATTGGTAGACAAGTATCTCTGCCACCTCAGAGAAAAATGGAGCTGATCTGCCTCATACCAAGGAGACCTCCAACATTGATGTTGCTTCCTTCCTGTGGCTTCCACTCCTCAGTTGCTGCAGTAACTCTCAGGACAGTTAGAAAAAAAGACTGTTTCTCTAAAGGAGGATGATTTGGGTCACATTGAGTGCCAAGAAGCTGAAGACTTCTCTTTGGGCCTCACTCACCAAAGGCATAGATGCATAGATCTGTGCAGCAACATCACATAGCAAAATCCACCAGTGGTTCTTTCTGTATTGCACAAGGGCTGGGCTGCTTCTGGTATAACACCAATAAAATTCGCATTTGTCACTGCTTTCAGCACTGAAATCTTCCACTCGCTTCCTCACCCTTGCGTAAGTCACAACAGTAGACATATCTGTAATTATAGCAATACTAGAGATTTCAGAACTGAATGTTCCAGCGCTGAAACCTGTCTAGCTGCTTATTGTTCTCCTCCCACAACATTTTCCTTGAAGCACTACAAAATACTATCTTCAGGCCATCAGCCTTCCTCTAACATTACTGATTTCTTTGCACATACACAAACAGAATTCCTTCAAGCATGGCACCCTGCTGCCCTTCCCCAGTGAAAGCTAGAGGCTGCTCCCCTATCCGCCTTTGCTTCCCACCTTAGGCAGTTCAGTAAAGTCCACACAAAAAAGTTTTGAAAGAACTCCCATCAATAGTTCATTCCATGTATCTGTTTCCCTAGCTTGCCTAGCAACTCACATCACAATGAAAGCCATCCAGCAAAGACAGTCAAAAGGTACCATGATGTTGCAGAGTGACAACACTGATAAAGCTCTTCTGAAGTCCACCATATCATGTATCATGCCACATACTGATACACATTTTTATGGCATGTAGAACACAGACAGGACATACAGTCACAGCTAATATGCAGCCCAGTTCAGGATCCTAACTTGAGTAAGAAGCTTAGGAGAACTCTAAAGGATTCCTTGAAACAAGCCTCAAGAAAAGGTTGTTCTTGTAAATACAGATCTTTTTGGCCATAACATCGAATCCTCCAAGAGTTTCCAAATGAGGAGCAAGCTAGCAGTCAAATACTACTTTTGAATAATTGTTTTTCTTTCAAGCTGAATTTACCATTGGGAAAAATCAAAGACCCTGATTGCGTAAGTCAATCTAGTTTGGTTCATTTTAGCTGGAGTAGCTTTTTATTCCATAGAAATTAAGCTAAATGGAAAGCAAGCCAAGGATGCAGATAGCAAGATAAGGACTTAATGTGCTTTAACTAATCCATCTTAAAAGGTAACTCCTGTTAAGTTTACTCATATATGAAGTTCCTAAAGATCAAAGAAACTTTCTTTGTTCCAGCACACTCTGCAACAAAAAGGATTTGAACTGTGTGAGTATTATAGCCATTTTATTCTCAACTTTTGTAGAGACTAGGAGTACATGCAAAGCCCGGTGAAGTCCCTGCAAAGACTTGCATTGAACTCCACCGTGCTTTGGCTCTAGCGTTTTATGATGTGTCAGGTTGGTATGAGGCAGCCAGCTATAGTCCCTGAAAGTCTTTACACCTGAGAATGTGCTTTTCAGCTGTCAGTACAGAACAATGCAGTCAGCAAGTACTGCATCAACATAGAAGCTTTAGTACTAATAATATGCAGAAATGCAAAGAGCAGGCTAACATAAGAGGACTTTATTTTTCCTGTCAGATAAAGAGAAGATACATGTAAAATATTTGGACATTTGGGGAAAGAGCAAACATTGAGAATTAATTCAAACTGTTGATGGTTTTTTTTTTTTATTGAATCTTGCGGTCAAAATTGTTTTCATTTGCTATGAGAAAGAATCCATCATTTTTTCCAAAGCACCACCCAGAATCTGCCACTGGTGATGTTCTAACATCCCCAGTGCCTATACAAATAGAGAAGTCAGCTGAGATTTGTAAACTAGAGATCATAAGTTTTAAGGAATTTGTTTGTTCAGCCTAGAGTCTCCAAACTGTGTACAATGCCAAAATTAAAAAGTCCTTGCACTGTACTGTGTCAGGTTACAATAAAAAGTTCTCCAGCGTTTTGGATGTTCAGATGAGAAAGCAAATTGTAATTCTATTTTGAGCAACCATTTGTCAGCACATGCAGTTTAATTATAATTAAGTACCTCCAACAGTTATAACGAATAGGCAAAATCAAAATGCTGTTTTTATACTTGTGTAAACCTGCATTTAAGTGTGAACTAAAAGCTGCCTGAATTACACTGAGAAGTATCACTCTAGTATTTGCAATTTGAGCTGCACTGTTCAAATACAAACATATGTAAAGTGTTTCCAAAGACTTTAACAGACTGACTGAATTAGGGGGATTTTCATGGGAGTGACAAGAGGCAGATCTCTTCCTGATGAGAAGGCCACCACATACCAAGTTCCAAGTCTCTGTCCAAAGTATGGAGCACAGGAACCATGCAAAAGAGATCACCAGAGTCTTACAACATATTTCTAACTCATCTCATTCTTGAGAAAGAGCTGAACTACATTTGCTGAAATTTATTCGCACAGGAAAGAAACACCGGGGGGGGGTGGGGGGGGGGGGTGGGTGTGGAAAAAAAAAGTGTAATTATTGAAATATGATGAAATGTGATAAAGTTGCAAGAAGTTTACAGAAAGTTTTATAGTGATAAGTACAAAATACTAATGGTATTTGACAAAAATATCTGATATTTTAAAATAACCGTATCTGAAAATATTTTCAAATGCAATGTATCAGAATTAAAAGCTATTAGAAATCTGGTAACATTTCATGTCCTGCAAATGGAATAAGCGTTGAGATGACATCTTTGGAGTATATATGAACTTTGCTGCCTTTACTTATAGATAGCTTGGAAGATGGGCAGAGCAACTCAACAGGTGTTTTCAGTATTTTCAGTAAACTGTATGACTAATATTGCATCTGCTTTTTTTGTAAAGATATAGATGAATGTGCAACTGGAACCCATAATTGTAGAGCTGACCAAGTATGTGTCAATTTAAGAGGGTCCTTTAGCTGCCAGTGTCCTCCAGGCTATCAGAAACGAGGGGACCAATGTGTTGGTAAGTGTTGCTCTAGACTGAATTATTTCCTTTCATTATCTACAGTTGCAAACTTTATACTGATTATAAAGTATATAGGTATGTGTACTGTAAAATGGCTGTGTAACCTTGAAATGCAATGGAATAATCACTTTATCACAGTACGTAATCACTAAAACATAGAACTAGAAACTATCTTCAGTATAATCAACACTTGGAGTTGAACTTCACAAGATTAATTTTCCTAATAGTTACCATCGTGTTTATGGTAGGTTTTGCCTAATGTCCCAGATATAGTCATAAGTCTACTATAACAACAAACTAAAGCATGTCTTTGCACTGACCTCAGTGAGACTCGACTCCAGATCTGTAGGACAAAGCACTACCTTCACACAGACCTAATCCCTGCTCTGCAGAGCCCCATTGCACAGTCTGTTTCAGTACTCAGATTTATGAGTATAAATGAAAGAGATGGAAACTCTGAATGCAGGTATATGATATTTACAACTTATAAACTACTACGCTTTATTCTTTCTGCCAGAATAAACTTTTAGCACCCTTGGGACCTATGCAAGTATAACATTAAATTAAATCCAAGTGCAGTGTAAACACTGCATCTTTCCTATTCCATCCTCACTGGGGGACACTATGCAAAAGTGCCGTTACTCTGTTCCTTTAGTTTTCCTTCAGCCTTTATTTAACACCTCTTTAATCATGATTTCAATGGATTAATTGCTTTTAGAGGCACTCCTGCCTTAAGCCTTAAGTTTGTCAGAAATAATAAAAACAACTATGAAATAAGAGAATCAAATATATACATCATGAGGTGGTATTCAAGACTGCCTCTTGTAAGACACAAGAATGGTTTTATGCAGCCTAAGAGAAAAGCATTTGGGGTTTCTTTGTCCTCAGCAGAACAGAAACAACAGAACTTCAGGTTTTCTTCTTTATCTTTGTGTTAGGGATCCCACATTTGAAAATGTTTAAGAACTTTTTTTTATTTTTAATCTATTTCAAAAAGCCTTGCTAAGACTATAGGCAGTCACCACCTAACAAGCTGCAGGGAGGAAACTGGGGAAATTTCAGTACACATCTAGACTAACTTAAATTTCTGGGCACGGCTCACTCTTTAAGGTTCTAAGCCAAGGGCTCTAGGAATCAACCTAAAAATTCTTACCTCTTTCCTAAGAGATGTGGATTAGCCCTGAACTGTAAAACTGGTGTAAACACAGAGGCATCTGATTGTTCTCAGTTCTCTGTGCAAGAGTAGGATGAGTAGTTTGGAATGTGGGTAGAGGAATAGTTTTAATAGGTCACTGATACTTTTTTTTTTTAAAGTATCTGGAGTTTATCTAGATTCTTTAGAGAAGATAAAGCATATTACTGCTATGCAATAGCACTTTTAATGTCAAGACCCATGGTACTAACTGAAAGTCTTGCAGGATACATTACAGCACTCAAAAGAAAAGAAGCAGAATGATATGCCCTTATATCTACATGTGAATACATTTATGTATCTAAATCTATACAGAAGATGTCTGGAAAGTGAAGTTTCCCTTCCATTGAAGGCGAAATCAAGAATAACACCTGTTACGTATTAGACACTGACCTAAATTATAAGTACATCCCTATGCTTAGTACTGTCAGCATTTCAGAACAAAGCCTGTCTTTGGGGATTTTGTGACAACTTAGCCAGAAAACGTTCTTGAGGCCAGATCTTGATAGAGGTTCTCCATATGGGAGGAAATGTTTCTCAAATTTGAAAGAAATTTTTCCAGACTATTTTGGCTTCAAGGTAGAGGGAGAAAAGGACTAATTTCTAACAAGTGATTGATTTTAATCTAAATTGACTAATTATTTCTGGGTTTTTTGACTTTTTTTTTTTAAATTTGCTTGTTGACATATTGCAAAATTAGTCTTTTCTGAAACACAGGACTGCAGATAGAAGGAATTGTTTTCCAGCATTACTTTGAACAGAAGATTTGGCTGAATTGATTAGATAATGCTTAGCCCTTATATCTGCATGGAGTTGATGTGCTTAATCCTGCAAGAAGAACTCCCATTGAAGTAGAGTCAGATCCTGGAAGCATTTGTGTGCATAAATGCAGTGCCTAAGCAGCAACGCATTGCTCATATGTCTATATTGTATAATGAGATCTTTAAAGAGCAATTTGTAAGAACTTAGTCCTGTGAAAGGTAAGGATGGAAGAGAACTACCGTGCCTCCTAATTTATTCCATTTCTACTTCCAAATTTCTCTCTGCAACAAAAGAGTTACAGCAACAATCACTAGTGTACGAATAGCCAGGAATTTTCCAGCGTAAACCTGTTCATTCAGAACCCTCCAAAACACTCCACTGCTAAGTTTAGGCCCAAACAGTGACTGCAAATTTGACAAAGAAAGGGTTAACTTCTAAAGATTATTTTTTTACTTGATATTAAAACAAACACTTTCCTCATTATAAAAAAAAAAAGTCTTGGCCTCTTTTTAAACACATCTATGGTGGAAACAGCTGGAGGTAGGACACTCAAGATCTGGCATGGGTGTGGGAAGTGCCTTTGTTCCAGTGGAAACTGCTCTTATTTTTCTGAGCGTTGAGCCTTTGAAATCTCACATTGTGTACATGTACAGAATACAGCATGAATTTCTTCACCAAGCTCAAGCAGGCCCAGCATTGTGGCATGATAAAAAAAAAGTTTTTCAGACAAAAACAGAGGCAGTATCACCTCCAGAATGCAAAGAAAACTTTTAAGATGCAGAGGTAAAAAAATGGGCTGTTGCACATCTTGTGTGGTTCGCAGGTGAAAACCCTGCTCCAATGCACATCAGGAATGCTGAAACTTGGAAAGGCAGCCTGCTCCACCTCAAAACCAGGGCTAATCTGCAAGGAGGGTCTGTGGAAAGTTAATACTGCCTGAGATAGCACCAACTTCAGCCAGTCTGATCGCCTTCCTTGGCACCAGAGAGTGCAGCCAGAAGGTGCTAGTGCAGCCGTGTGGAAAGGTACGCAGGAGAGGCGGGGAGGGGGAGCAGGAACAGTGGCAGCCCCTTGTGGGAGCAAGCCAGTTTCTGGGGGATCCCTGCAGAAGCACAACCACCGGTTTCTTTTTCAGGCCAATTAATCTTCTATCCTCACAGCTCCCCTGTACTTGCACAGAAAATTTGGACTCTTCCTGATGGAGCTGGAAAGATTTAGTACATGCTAAGTGTTTTACATGCAAATTTTTGAAAAAAAAAAAAGCTACAGGACACTTTCACTGTGTTAGTTGGCTTTAATGTCTGCATCATGAGAAATCTTTGAAGAGCAGAACAAAACATTCTCAGTTTTACCTATACAAAATAAACAAGACAAAGCAGTACTGTGGAACTGAATAAAAAATAAAGTTCGGATGTGTATTGCTCTCAGTGGCTGGAAGACAATCAGCATAGAACAGATTTTTACAAGAGTTAAAGTAAAATAGTATTCCTATTAATATCCACAGAAGCAGTGTCACATAAGCTTTTTTTTCTTCCTGCTTTTAATCAAGTGCAATTAACTTTACAGATTCTTTGGACACAAGACAGCAGCAGTGAACTGCCATGACTCCATTTGAACTAATTTCTCTTTTTTGGTAACTCAGACATCGACGAATGCACCCTGCCTCCATATTGCCACCATCGATGTGTGAACACTCCTGGTTCCTATTATTGCCAGTGCAATGCCGGTTTCCAGTTAGCATCCAACAACCACACCTGTGTAGGTAAGAACTACTCTGCACATACTTACACATCAGCTTACTTGATATACAGGCAAATACTGACACATAACTTGCCACAGTTGAAATTTAGGTATCTTCGTCCCAAGTTAAAGGAAATAAATATCAACCAATAAGACACACCAGTTGCTATATTGAGAGGCTCTCCTGCAAGTGACCTCAGAAGTACAGGAGGGTTAAAGAGAAAGTTGGAGCCTTATTGAAAACCTGTTATTTGTTGGCATAGCAGGTTTCTGAGGAGCATCTAGTTTGGCAACTGCAAGCCCAGAGGATTATATTAATTGTTTAAGCTTAGATTTAATTATTCTTTCAGTTTGGGTGGATCATTTTGCATCATCATTGACTTTTATTCACAGCTCATGCAGCACAAAGGCTGGAACTGGAAACCAGGGGAAGCAATACTGTACCTCTGCTGTTAAGTGTAATTACCCTCACCACAGGACGAATGTAATGACAAAAAAGGCATCTATGAATGTCACATTTGACTATCTAGAAAATAATGTTAAAAATGAAAACAAGGGTCACTAAGGAAGAGTGACTCTTTAGAAGTGATCCTCCCTTTAGAAGTAAAACACTAAGGGAAGCCTTGCAGTAAAACTTTAAGACTGCTATTAAGTTTGAAATCATAAGTTAATGGCTTTAAACTAAGTGAAGGTAGATTTAGACTAGATATAAGGAAGAAGTTTTTTACCATGAGGGTGGTGAAACACTGGAACAGATTGCCCAGAGAAGTAGTGGAGGTCCCATCCCTGGAAGCATTCAAGGCCAGGTTGGACAGGGCTCTGAGCAACCTGATCTAGTTGAAGATATCCCTGCTCACTGCAGGGCGGTTGGGCCAGACAACCTCTAAAAGTCCCTTCCAACCTGAAGTGTTCTATGATTCTAAGTTCTATTCCAGAAGAATCAGAGTAATAATAAAAAGGAAGCGATGTCTGCTGAATTGCAGAGAGAATGGACATTTAATAAAATATCAATAAAACCTTTATTATATACATATATAGATAAAAATAGAAAAATCAGTCTGGGTTTTCCAGCTTCTACCATTAGTTCCAAGTGTTGCCATATCTTATCATCAAGTACCCGGGCACACTGCATAGCACTGAAGTGACAGAGGCATTTCTTGGTTTTCACCAAATGATAAGATAAAAAAATTGTACATTGACACAACATAACCCTGTGACAAGTTGTTACTCATTTGACCCTTTCCATGGTTCAAATGCAAGGTGTATTATTTCAAAGACAAATCCGTAGGACAGCTCCAGTTTGCTAGGTGCTTCACCAAGAAACCCCTTCTCTGATTCTTGATGGCCATCCAGCCTAACAAGACATACTTCCACCAGGAAAGATGAAGTAAATCTTAAGAAGAAATTTGTAAATGAGTGGTTGCTGCATCAAGGCAGACTTTCACATCTGCAGCAGTCATCTGGCAGAAGTGATACTTGACAGCTGTACCAATTACACTTGTGTTACAACTTTTGCAAGTATTGAAAGTGGGTCAATATTTCTTGGAAGGAAAAGAAACAGAACTGTGGCTTTGGCTAGCTTGCTTATTGCTTCTGGTAGCATTGTCATGATGTACACTCTTTGCTCTATTGCCAGAAATTAAGTAAAAGGAGGGAGAAAAATCTTTGTACTCAGTTTTCCCATATTACCATTCATTTTCAGGACTATGAGGTTCATCATACAGAGAATTAATATTCTCCTCATTGATTTAGTTCTTGTGAATGCCTAATCTTAGTCATCTTTGTCAGTTTTTAGCTGTATCTATAAATGACTGAGTGTTGCTGACATTTATAAGCATTTGCAGAAGCCATGAACTCATGACTTTTTTTTTTTCCCCAAGTGCAGCCCTCTACTAATGGCTATATCTGATAAACACAAATATGAATAGAAAACATGCAGCGGAGGAATACAAAGGAAAATACACTAAAGTCTACAGAGTGAATGACAGAGGAGCAGCAGTTAGTCAAGGGCCTAGGAAAAACAAGCGTTATAGATTCCAGAGGTGATTACAGTTATGTAAACCTCCCATTAAAAATTGCTTCTCTTCTCATACCAGTGTTCTCACATATGTTCTTAGGATGGGCACATCATGGAAAAAATCTAGCAGAGAAACATACCTTCCCCCAATATGGTCTAGTCCTTAGAGCATTGCAAAACTCTACTGGCCTCAAAGGCTCATGTTATAATTGTAATGGAATTTGAAAGAATGAATTTTAAGAGTAATAAATAGCTCAAATCTTAGCTACTGCATGCTGAGAGGTCTTATCAGTGTGTGTTCCTTATATCAATTATTTATAGAGACTTGGCATTTCATACCTGAAAAAAGACACTGGAATGTGGAGTTTAGTAGCCACACTAAACATTTTTGGAAGACTTCATCATATATTAGAATAACTCTCATTCCTGGAAAAATACTTTTTTTCTACATGGAATGTAAAGCATAGATCTGACATTGTTCCAGTGACTGCAGATCTACATTCATATAGTCAACTGAGCTGCTGCTAAGCAATAGACCCAGACTAAGGACTAATCCACTTAAACAGCCTAATTACCAGCTACACAAGATAAAGATCTGTAATTCTTCCTTTCAGACATAAACGAGTGTGATGCCAATAACCCATGTGCACAACAGTGTTACAATATACTGGGTTCTTTCATCTGTCAGTGTAATCCAGGATTTGAGTTAAGCAGTGACAGAATCAACTGTGAAGGTAAGCAATTTTTTTGTCTTGGAAGAGTGATTTTTGTCTTTTTTCAGTTGTTTTCCCAAAAGTGTTTCTGTGAACTAAGGGATATAATTCAAGTGAAGCCACACTGTGGGTGCAGTTTGTAGCTAAAGCCCTTAAGACATTTATTTTGTTATATTGCAAATGTGGTTGCTAATACAGACCTTAGCAGCTACATTGAGGTACATGTAGATATGGGTATCTCTCTTTAATAGTAAGTGCAAAACAGGACAGACATTACTACATTTCGGATCACAGCTGGGAATAATAAGGCTTCTGAATACTTACTTCAGAAACTCACTTGAATTGTGTGTGGTCTAATGCCGATGACAATTAAAATGAAGCAGAAAGGAATGCAAACCAAAAACAAGTGCAATTTTGTGTGTTGTTAGGCTCCTCTGAAAATAAAACCTCAAATTTCTGATTTTAAGGAAGTGACAATTGTGCTTCTGAGGTGCTTTCAAGCCTGTGTATACAAACAGCATGTCTCCTGATGATTATACAATCAACACTATTTCCTCTGCCAGAGTCTCCACAGGGGTCCTCTAATCTCCTTTTGGACACATGATGATCTCACCCTTAAAGCCCATATCCTTTCTACCAATCTTTGAGCCAAAGAGGTCTTTTTGGTTTACCACTGCCCTCCTAAACAAGCCAGTGGAGCTATTACAGATGCTCCCTCTCCAAGCTTCTGAAGCTAATCCTACTTGCAAGTGAACAGAACAGGGAGCAGCAAGTATGCAGCCTCCAAGGACATCCCTGACATAAAATCAAGAACTGGGCTAAAGCCTCCGAGGTCACAGGAGGGAGCTATGCTGTTTTCCAAGCCATTCCCTAGTTTTGATGAGTTTAATTTAATTTCCCATTAATGGCATATACTGTTAAATTCTGTTTCACACTGCACGTCTCCAGCAAGGGACTGGTGGTTACACAAGAATAAAAAAAGCAAGAGAGAGTGGTATACACTGAACATTATTTGGAGGAAAAAAAAAAAAAAAAAGAGAGATCTTCCCCTGTTTCCCAGAGATCTACTCCATTAGCACAGGGCACAAGTACAAAGGCAATATTTTTGCCTTACTAATCTCACATCTGTATTTTTTTGTGAAAGTAATCACATTTTGGAATACTATAAGTATAAATTCTTTAAAGAGTTATTTTCCCAAACCTGTTACGAAGACTAATTTAGCTTTTGCTTCCTCAAATCCAAAATCCTCATTTTAAAAGATTATTGATAAAACACAAGTAGATCTAGCCCTTCTGTTTGCAACTTCGAGGCTCTAAGCAGTACATTTCAGGTTTTTGATAACTTACTCTTTTTAGACAGAATTCATTTTTTCCTGTTAGAACCAGCATTAAGCTATTACATTTAGTTCTGTAACAAGGTAGATGTTAAAAACAAATAACTTTAAGCTCTTTTGCTCTGTGCAGACACTGATGAATGCAGAACCTCAAGTTATATATGTCAATATCAGTGTGTCAATGAACCAGGAAAATTCTCATGCGTCTGCCCTGAAGGATACCAGGTAGTAGGAGGCAGAACATGTCAAGGTAAGTACCTTCATCTAAGCAGTCTTAATACTGCATTATTAATAACATCATTTCAGGCAAGATTAAGAATGCTTGCTACCTTAATATTTATATTTCATGATAGGATTACCATTACAGCATTTGATGATTAATTGCATATCGTATATTAATTCTTACTTGAATCCTTCAGCTCAGACTAAATCTTTCAAATTCCTAGCACAAAATTTCAGTTTTTGCAACCCTTGGGTAAAACTTTTCTTGGATGTCTAAGTACTAAGTCTAAGTTTCAGAGAGAAATATCTCCAAAAAAATCAGGCTATTTTTGAGAGACACACGGGTTTATATAATGTTTTATATTATAGGTATTCCTAAATCCAGCCACAGTAGGAATGAAAGATATGTTTCTTCTGATAACAGGAGAAAAAAAATGCAAGACTTCAGAAGCTTAGATAATTTGTGTTTAGAAAATAAAAGTTCTGGTCAGGTGCCACTGAATACCAGAATTTTAAAGTTCATGTTTTTTTCCTCACTAGTGTTAAATGTCCCTGTATCTTAGAGAGTATTGCAGAACAACATACTAAGTGCAAGAACCATTGCTTCTGTGATCCAGAACCCGATTTAACAGTCATTGTTTTTAGAAATAAATAGGTGTGCTAATTATTGGCAGAAGGGATGAAGAAATAACTAATTTTTATTAATATTTTTTATAAAATTCAGTTTTCTTTCCCTTCTTAAGACCAGCAGCTGATAGTGAACATTGTGGGGTAGTTAGCTTGATCATCGAAAAATCTGTTTCTGCTTTCCGAGAGATTATATTTGAATAAACCCTTTCTGTGACTGTTAATTTCAAGAGACAGTATAGGTAGACAGTAGTGGGGTTCTGGCACTGACAGGGTTAACAGAACATTAATAAGGTGCAAGTCTGACAGTCCCACCTCCATTCAGGGTTACTTTCCCAAGCAAAAAAGGAAGCTCTGTTTTGCACAATAAACAAGTTTTCATTATTCTTTTTCAAAGCTATTTAAGTTAAAATGTAGTTATTAACTAAGCATTTTAGTTAGACCATGAAATTGAGGCAATTAAAAATGAGAATGTGCAAAAGTTAGGAAATCACAATTCTTCCTCAAAAACTTTTTCCTCTTCTACAAAGTATCTTCTGCTATAAAATAATTCTTTGCTAATTAGAAACTTCACAGTATTTCTACAGTTACATTACATATGATTAATGCATATCTTTAGTGAACTAAAAAAAAAGTCTCCAGACTGAATTAACGTTCAATAAACAAATATATTCCATTTCTGCATAGACACATCCTTTATAGCCAGGCCCCAGAAAAGCCGGTAAAGAACATGGAAACCTGTTGGTGGGGTTTTTTTTTTTCAGTTGTTTTGAAGACATTGTGTTTGTTTTTGTAGCAAACTCATTTCCATCTGCTTTGACCCAGTCCCTTTTCCTTTCTCCTAGATATAAATGAGTGCGAGACTACTAATGAATGCAGAGAGGATGAAATTTGCTGGAATTACCATGGTGGATTTCGTTGCTACCCAAGAAATCCTTGTCAAGAACCCTATGTCCTTACATCTGAGAAGTAAGAGAAAAATTTTTTTTAGAATCATCCTCAACAGCCAACATGATCAAATACAACAGAAAGCACCATTTGTTTGCAAAGATCAGTTTCTTTTTTTTTTTTTTCCAGCCGCTGTGTCTGCCCTGTATCAAATGCCATTTGCCGAGAGCTGCCCTACTCTGTGGTGTACAAATACATGAGCATCCGTTCAGACAGAACAGTGCCCTCTGATATCTTCCAGATTCAGGCAACCACGATTTACCCTAATACTATTAACACATTCCGGATCAAGTCTGGAAATGAAAACGGAGAATTTTACCTGAGAGTGAGTATTGGTGGGAGCTGGACCCTGAGCAGGGTGGTGCTACCCAGCTGTTACAGTGCCTTGCCATTTTGACAAACCCATGAAATGTCCCTCAGGGCATCACAGCATCCCAGAGTTTGTCATCTTTTTGGTACTTCCTTATTGAATGTGCTTGGTTTCCAAATTTTATAAAGCCTTTTACTTTTCTGCCTGAAAACCCTAAACTGAGTATCAAACTGTTTCTTTTAAATGAATACAACACTAGTAGCGGTCATGAATATTTAGCAATCGTGGGACACCCATGTCAGATTCAAATGAGATGCCTCCACGCTTTTCACTCACTGTACGAACACCCCATATGTATGTATTTAGGAGAAGATTGTAGAAAGAGTCCTTGTACAATTACTTTAAATTTCTCATTTTTTGCAAAAAAGAAATCAATAATAGCTTACGATGGAGCACTGATTTCTAGAGTGCCAAGTTCAAGCCAACTTACAAAGATTTTGTGTTAAGACATACTTAAACCTTTATTTTCCCATAGTGCTGCAACTATTTCAGAAAACCACAAAAGGGCTTACTTACAATAGCAGTATTTCCTGTTGGTATAATACATTTAGGTAGACACACATGAATGGAAGTGTCTTATAACATCTGCTTTTTAAGATTTTTTGGGGAAGAAATCTGATTTTCATGGACGCCTGTAATATTTACAGATTCCTGGGAAATCCTTCTTGCTTCATATGTGGCTTTACTCAGTAAAACAGAATCAACACAAAAAGCTTCAGCAAGAAATACATTAATTGGAAGGTTTTCATTTTTGTTTATTTTTCTTCAAATCTGAAGATTAGGGGGGGTTGACAGTACATCCAAAAAGTGTATCAACATATGGCATTGACTATTTATACCATGTTTCCCCAAGATGGGAACAAGGAACTACTCATCTGTATCTCACTTTTTTCTGGTATAATTTATAATCCAATCCTTTTCCCTGGATTTATTACACATCAGACCCCCACACCTAACCCCAAAATACAAACAGTTATTTGCTCAAAAAAAGAACAAGATCACTCCAGCTCCAGGTTGGGTTAGACTCCAATCTAGCCTTCAGACTGACTTTCTTTAGACTAACAATTCCAGTCTTCTGTTGCCACCCAACAAGAAATCACAGGCCTTAAATAAGGAAGCATGTGTTTATTCCTGCCAAGGGACTGTGGTAAACAAAGGCTTACTTAGAAGTTATTCCTATTGTTTTAGTACAACTCTGAGCTGGGTCTCAGATACAGCAGATGGATTAGATTCATATGTATACTGTACTCCTTTGACAGGTTGAGAAAAATATTTGTAGTAGGTGAAGGGAGAGATGGAGTTTACCCTTTTATTATCATCTGTAAATTACAAAATTGTTTAACAAACTAGCAGCATGCCACAGACAAGGCCTGTCAGTGTTCCCCAGCAGCATGATCCCAGACTGGGAAGAGAGCTTCAGAGCAGTATAAGATGGGGATGGCAATAAGCGCACCAGTTCCAAAACTTCCTAGTGTTTACAAGGGGAGTATAACTTCGTCTGGAGTATGAGCCATGAGATAGAGTTTCCCTCCACTGAACAACCTACATCACTGTGAAAGACATTAGGTCTCTCTTGGTTTACTTAATGTATTTTAAAAGCTGATCGATGGGGATAAAAAACAAAAGACCATCCTGGGATAGATTACCACTTTTTACATCCTTTAGGAGAGTCAGCATAACTAGGAACAGATTTTGCAGTGCAGTTTATTCCTCTGAGCCTTAGTCAGGTAAAATTTTCCTTGCAAAGCCAGGTGTGATATTAGTCATGGCCATTTAAAAATGCTAAAAGAATACTTGCATTGTGTATCTCTGTGCTGAGACAGAGTATTTTTACAGTGTAGTAACACACAAGCACTTTCTTGATGCAACTAGGGAATCGTTTTAGATTTGACTGAAACTTTTTTTGTTGTTCTTTTAGCAAACAAGCGCCGTAAGTGCAATGCTGGTACTGGTGAAATCACTATCAGGACCAAGAGAACACATTGTGGATCTGGAGATGCTAACAGTCAACAGTTTGAATTATCGTACAAGCTCAGTGTTAAGATTAACAATAATAGTGGGACCGTACGCATTTTAGTGGTTTTCAGTAACCCTTCACTGGCACTTAAAGGAGCCAAAGGATATTCTCTTAAAGCACTTACTATTTTATTTATAGATTTCGCTCTCTTTTTTTAACATTTGTTTAGTGAATTGATATCTTTAACCCACACGTTACACCTATAATTCAAAAGTAGTAGATGTGTTCCATAGTAGAACATGGGCATTGTCACTTTCTGTATAAAGATTTAAATCTTTTTTTATTACCTTTCTTGGACTAGATACATACTACGCTTTTCTATGAGAACTATATGTTCATACTATTCTGTAAAACTTCACACACTCTTCCTAGCCAAATAGGTCATGCAATTAAAAGGTGATCTTCTGTGTTGTTTTTATTTTAAGTTCTAACATAGCTACACTGACAATCTCCAAAAGAATTATATAGTATGAATGATATGCAAAGTAACCGTTATCTGATAAGCTAAAATATATTTCTGCTTTTTAACTACTTTAACAAAAGATAACAGTCAATAAAAATCTATTTCTGTAGGCATTTATATGCTATCAGTTGGTTTTTCTAATCTGGGTTGGAGGTAAAGTGACATTGTGAGAAATGTTTTCATTGGGTTTTTATATGCAGATTGTGTTAACCAGACCACAGAAAAACATTCTGCTCTCTCCGAGAAAAATGGACTATAGAAGAAAATTTCTCCAACAATGAAAGATATGGAAAATCACCACGCAGAAAAGAAATGGAAAATCACCACGCAGGGCACATGTGTCCAAGCTTTCTCCCGAGAACACTGTTGGTAGTTACTGGTTAGAGGGATACAGCATTTTCAGACAGAAGTTAACATGCTATTTTTCCAGAAATATTATGTTGTATACTAGGAATTGAGTGCATTTGCTTATTAAGTTATATCATTTTCAGGCACTCTGTCCTATTCCTGCTCTTACAACTCGGATGTATCATGTACAGTGTTCATAAAATTTATTTCTAATTCAGGAACTAATAACATCTTTTGTAATATGTAAAATCTTATTTCTTGTTTAAATGTAGTAGTTAATCCTTTGATGTACAAAATTTTTAATAAAGATCTCTTACCATATTGTATTTAGTCTTTTTTGAGGTAGTTTATTAGCTGCGTTAGAGGGCTGAATTGTCAGCTACTGTGGGAGCCAGAAAAGCCCCGTTGAGTTCTGCAGAGTCAGAATGACCCAGAGCTCTGTACCTACACTGTTAGTTCTCAGAAGAATAAAAACACCAATGCTTTGTAGATGGGCAAGTAAATTGCCTACTGAGTTTTAGTTTTACTGACCTTAAAAAAAAGGAAAAATACACCAGCATACATACATTGCTAATTGCCGATTTACAGGAAGAAGCCTCTTTTCTACTTAAAATTCATTCTCTGTAGAAATTATTTGTGAATAGTGCATCCATTATACACAAACAAATCCTCTTGCAGTGCAGACCCACAGATTCATATTTATCTAGTAGGTCAATCAGCCCTAGTGATTGCTTTCAGGGGATGTACCCAAAGAAGCAACAAGCGTGGCTGGAGATTTTGGTGTCCAGAAGTCCTGCAAAATGTCGCTGCAGAATATAACTTGGAACAGGCCATAACCGCTCTGGCTTAGGGTGACGCATCCCCCAGTGCTCAGACAAATTGCAGAGCAGGACCCCATTATCCAATGATTGTTCCTTCAGGCAGTCATTTGTGGCTTTAAACAAATACCTCATCTGCCAAAAGGGTCAGAGCACATAGTTGTGGCATAGGCCAAAAAACAGTGCTGGCGCTGGATTCCATTTTCTTCGCTTGGGGCCCCGGAGCTGGGGAGCAAGACCCCCAATAGCCTTTATCCCTCTCTGCTGAGAGGAGCTCACCAATACAAACCCCGTTGCTTTGTAGAAGGATTTAATTGGCGTTTTCCATCGTGAAAACTCTCCAATATAGAGAGTTTGGCTTGTAGGAAGCTCCTTCTCCCCAGAGGGATTCCTCCCCATTCATCATCGCTACAAATCCGCTTGCTTTGAAAGGCAACTCCTCATCCCACACATGTACTGAGCAAAATGCCTCCAACCTCCTCCTCCTCCCTGCAGTTCTTGTGGCAAGCAGAACATACTCACCTCCATACTTAGTTTGACAACAAACATTTTTATGAGGTCTGTCCTCACAGAGGACGTGAGCTTTGCTGGCCCTCAAGCATCTCCCTCTACCCCCAGCATCAGCACTGTTCTTTTAATATCGACATTTAACTTCCCAAATTGTGGAATTAAGCATTGCCCACTCCAAGAAACAACTGATTTTGTTGTTGTTTCTAGGTTTGAAATGTGCAGTTTTCTCTTGACAAGTCCCCAGAGGAAGCTGAAGTGGCTTTGCCTCCTTCAGTCCTGAGACTTGCAAGGCACCAGGCTGGTCGCTGCAGTGAATTAAGCAGCCACAAATCACCCTCAACATCCCCAAGTTGCTGGGCTCTGCCTCAAGGATTTACTCTACCTTCATGCTCTGTCAATATTCACACCAGTTTCGTCACCAGCACTTCTAAATCTTCCTTTAAAATATCTGCTCATGCGACAGCAACAAAATTGATCGTTATATAGAGAGAAACATTACGTTTATATACTTATCAAATGGCATGAACAGCAGAGGCAGTTGTAGCTCATACACGTGCCCAAGCCATATTCAGCCTGCTCGTTCCTCCACATCTCATTGTGCTCATAGACTTGGCTTAGCCCATTTTATTTTCGCACAAACTGTCCTGCCAACTACCCCACTCCCCATTTGTTTGCAATATTCAGGTTTGTATGAGACCGCTTACATCCCACACTAGCCAAGTCAGAGGTCATCACACAGTTCATGAGTGCAGATGCACACACTCGCCATTGTATTGCTACGGATTGGTTGAGACCTAAATGCAGTCGCTGGGTGTGGGCACCACTTTCCACAAGGAACATTAATGGTAGAGCTTTTCTGGAAGCGGGGAGCTGAAATAACAGCAGCCCCTCCAAACCAAAACATCAGCAGGCAAGCAGAGCAAGCCAGGGAATACAGCAGGGCTGTGTAGAAACTGGAAGGGGGTGGTTAGTATTATTTTGGATAGGGGTGCGGTGTGTGATCAAGTGTGTGAGAGTATCCGAAAAGCCCATAATCAAAATGAGAAGATGGTTCAGAACCTGAAAAAGAGCAGCTTCTATACGCTGTGCTAGAAGTTGTGTGTACTGTTAGGGGGGAAACCTGCAGGTTCATCTGATTCTCCAGGAAAGCAGGACTTTGTGTGTTTCTTGCAAAGGATACAGAGCTGCAGCAAACATGCAACAAGAGTTTGAATAGCTACTTGGGTTAAAAGTGACACTGAAATCCCAAGAAGTTATACAAGAGCAAAGTGTTTGCTCAGCTTTTGCTACATCCTGCTGGCATGACCATTATCAGTAACGCGCTTCAGGAAATATTCACATACAAATCTGTCGCTGTTCGATAAGAATTTAAATCGGGATCACATGCCAAGTTTAATATCTTCTGAAAAATAGAAAACAGGGAGAAAAAAAGTAAAAAAAAAAAAAATAGGACTTTGAGTAAACAGAACTCAAGGAAATAGAAACGCAAGTTCATTCACTTCCCTAAGACCACCTGAACATAGTGCAGTGGGATTATTTTGTTTGGAAGGCTCACAAATGCAAGTTTATTGTTGAATCCTGTTTCCATGACTGCAAAGAGTTGCTTATGTTTTGAATGATCATCCATGTTCCTAACTTTATAACTCTCCTATTAAAATATAGAACAGCTGCTGCCCCAGTCAGCTGTTCGGCATATGGAGCCCACCAGGGACAAAGCCCACTGTTAACACGAAGAATTATTTTTAACGCCCTCACATTTCTAAACTTCACCATCATCTCAGCAAAATGGCACATTTCCACACTTCCCAGCTGGGGGAACACCTGCGTAATGCAAAACTGAACTGTGCTGCATCTGTTACAAAAACCAATTTTATTTCATCTGGCCAACAGAAAAAGTTATCAGCCTTGGTGAACAGAAACAGCAAAAAATTAACTGTGTTGTATATCTGGGGAAAAGCAGATGTCTAGTTAAGATGTTTATACTGCAATCATTTCTGTATATATTAGGAGGAAAGAGAGCTGTTTAATAAAACGGAGTTAGCTTATAGCTGCCAAAGCAAATTTGAAGGACAGTACAACAGCTTTTGTCTTTTTTGCGTGGGAAAAAATAGAGTCCAATTTTACATTGATATAGATTATGTACATTGAACAAGTAATTATTTTTTAAAAGTAAGTGAACTCAGAGTTAACTCTTTTTAAAGCCTCCCGTTTATCGTGTATATTTGCTCAGCAGAAAAAGCTGCAAACATTGTGTCGCACCAATATGACAAACTAGTATCAAAGGCTTCCCCCAATTTATTCTCTGGTATCTCAGAAAACACCTTCATACTGGATTAGGTGCTGTGTGGCAAAGGCACATAGCAATGCTTCCTGCAGATCAAAGTACTGGACTTCGCTGAGGTCCAGGATTTGTTTGTAAACACGGTCACAGCATGTCAGTCACATGCTGTTTCTGCTCTCGCTTGAGAGAGAAATTATTTCACTCTCTGATCCAGAATCCTAACAGTCTCAGAAGGAAGATCAGCACTCTGCACCTCTGCTCCCGCTCACAAATACGTCTGGATAATCAATTTTTTTTTTTTAATTTTAAATAGTATTTTTGTAATTTCTACATAACCACACAGTATGTATATATTCAAACAGGGGAAGCATTCCCACTAACATTCTTCACATTAGACCTTTGAGAGTGAAAGGTGCATCCCCCAGCTAAGCACTTCAGCAGCTCGTGCCCTGCAAACACACACTCTGGTGCACTTTATTGCATAGCTTAAATGAAACATTCATTTTCCCCCCCCCCTCCAAGAAGCCAGCCTTTAAAGCCTCTGCAGTTCTGGTCTACAAAAACTCCACATGCAAAGGCATGAACCATCCCTATCCATACAACCAAACAAGCATACAGAACGGCTTTCAAATTTAGCAGCCTGCCAGCTGGGTTAACAGAAGTAATATATTTATGCTGTTAAACTCTGAGACCATGATCATGAAAGTTGCACAGACACCTCAAGGTCTAAATCCTGCTGATGCCACTCCAGAAACATCTGAACCTGTGACCACCTCCTCTTGAGGGTCACATTTTCTTCTTGAACTTTGAGTGTTTCTGGAGTATCTATGTGCAGTATATAGGAATGTTTCCTATACAGAATATATACAACAAACACCCAAGTGGGAAGTCAAACGAGAGAAATTCTTGCAGGCGGCATGGAAACCAGGAAAACAAACAGATTTTGGAAACTTAGAGTGAGGGTTGCAGAGGGGAAGCCAACATACCAAAACAGCAGGGTAAAAGGCATTATTAAAATCAATAAGTCATCTTCTGAGAAGCTGAGGTTGTATATGAACAAGGAAAACAGAAGTGTTCCTGAGATCTGGAAGGTCACATGTAAAAATAAACAAGGAGGCCAAAGGAGCAACTTT